GTTAGTGAAAACAAACAAAAATATATTTTATAAAATTTTTAAACACTTAAGTAAAAATTATTAATCTTTTTAAAGAAATTTGCAAATTTATTTAAACTTCATCGCAGTAACATCACTGTAATTTTACAGGTAATATTACGAATATTCAATGTATTATTACAATGATAAAAAGATTATAAAAAGATTATATGCTTGGATTATCCTTTTTCATAAAATAGGATTTTAAAATTTGTAATTAATTTTACAGGCAGAAGAAGAAGCGCGTGCTCTACAGAAAAAGATTCAGACCATTGAAAATGAGCTTGATCAAACGCAAGAAGCTCTTATGCAAGTCAATGCCAAACTTGAAGAAAAAGACAAAGCTCTTCAGAACGTGAGTTTTTTTTCACATTTTATTTCCTGAAAGTTTAAAAATAATTATATCTTTAAGGTCCAATAAAATTAAGTAAAAATAAATTATTATTCATTGAAAGGATGAAAGCTTTTTATACATTTGAAGATTTTAATTTTTATGTAACAAATTTTCAAAACTGGACGCATATATCGATACTTTTAAGAGGGCGATTATGTATGTAATATTTAATTTCACTGTGAAACTTTTTCAAACAGGAAAAATACATATATTGTCATGTTTAGTACAGACTCCCCCCCTACCCCCAAAAACGTGACATCATATGTGAACGTTCCCTTTTTTGTCTTCGAATAAAATATTTATCATATAAAATTATTTAATTTATTTTAATACATTAAATTAAAAATTAATTATTACACTGAAAAAAATATTCTTGTTTTGAGAGGAAAATTCCTATTGCAAAAATCATCTAGAATCAAGAATATATTAGGTACTCTTAATCGAAGAGTATTTTCCTCTTATTTTAAGAAGAATATTTTTAAGTGAAGAATAATCCTCTTAAAATAAGAAGATTATTTTTGAGCCATATTTAAGAGGAAAATATGCTTTAATATAAGAGGACTCCGCTTAAAACAACAATATTTTTTTTCGGTGTATATGTATTGAAGTTTTCGATTAATTAGTTTGGATAAATGCTGAATCATTTTTTCTATATTGACTAATATATAATATGATTGTACCGTATAATTGACCTTCAGAGGGTTTTACTTTCATGACCGATTCGGTCATTTATGTCAGTAGACACTCAAACCTTGAAGTTGTGGAAGATTTCTCCTTAATAGGTACATCAATGGCAATAATGTAATCATACAAACGACTGAAAAAATCCATACATGGAATCGCTCTTCTATATTTAAGTCTCATATTTTTAATTTTTAAACGTGCAAAAATAATTCGATCTTTCTTGAGGAATCTTTCTTCTAAGTATTACACATCCACACATTTTACATCTTAAGTATTATGTACAACACAGTTTTTCTAAAGTTAACAGCATCAAAACCGCAACAATTTGATACGTCCTTTTAGTCTTCCCGGTTGAAAATAGTGACGTCGAAAAGGACATCGGATACAACGTCGGAAATTGGGATAGGAAACGATGTCGTATCAGTTGTCGTTTCTTATACATATATCATTTCTTACGTTTCATTTATGAAGCAAAGAAATGTTTCAATTTTTCTTTCTTAATTTTATATTAAAAATTATTATAACTATTACTGTTATACTATATATTCAACAGACATGAATTATGAATAACATAGTGTTACAAGAAATAAAAAAGTAAAATTATTTTAAATCGGAGCTATCCTGGGTCAAAATTTCTCCAAAAAATCAAAGTTGTTCATGGGTCTTTCAATTTTTGTAAAACTTGGTATAAATGTTGTGTTTTATAATAGAAGATTTTAGGAAAAAAAGATTTTTAAAAATTTTCAAAATTGTCGATTTTACCTGGCATCAAACATTAAAGTACATTTTTTAAAAAAAACGAATAACTTTTATCCATTTAATTAGATTTTGTTTATATTTTGGGTAATAATAATTGATTTTCTAACAATTTAAAGTGCAATATTAAAAACAAAAAAATCCAAAATTTGCCCGGAAGAAAAGTAAAAATAATTTTGGATTTCATTTTTTCGGGCATAAGCACCCCTTTGATTTTTTTGTAACTACCTATGATATTTAGATTCCTTATTATCTTCTCCAAAAATTTTTGTCAAAAAAAAATTCCTGGGGACTTTAAAACTAACCGAAATATTTAATTTTTTGTCCTGCAGCGCACATACTTTGCACTTACGCGAATGCGTCGCATTTGAGGTCCATGTGTTGCACGATCTTGTTTTACTTCTGTTTAGTTAATCTTTCCAATTATTTTGATTATTAATTGGTTAATATAATTGTTAACAAAATAAAAAAATAAATAAACATAGTATTTTAAACAATAGTTACTATTGTTATAAACATTTTGTAAACAAATTTAATTATTTATAAAAATAATTAAAACAATAAAGTAGCATTAATTTTGCAAAAAAATATTAATATTGGTACCTAAAGAAAATTTTAAGACAAATAATCATCCTACTAGTTATTTTATTATTTTAAATAATTGTTCTAAACTATAAATTAAAGTGTCCGCATAAATTTTTTTTTTGCAAAAAATTCTGGAGAAGATAAGGAATTCAAATATCACAGTTACAAAATAATCAAAGGGTTGCTTATGCCTGAAAAAATGAAATGAATATTACACTTGAAATTGTTAGAAAATCAATTATTATTACCCAAAATATAAACAATATCTAACTAAATATATAAAAGTATAATTAAAAATAAAACTGTAAAATTCCTGTAGTTGTATTTTAAAGTGAACAGAATCCTTATTATGAAGACACGTAAGTTTATAGAATTAGTAATTTGTTTCTAAAAAGTTTTAAATAAATAATAATAAAATTATAAATAAATAAACAATATTAATAATAATAAACCTTATATTATACGAGCGGTAGCGAGTCTACACACCCACACAGCACCGAAACTTTCCTAAAAATTTATTAAAGATTTACTTGCAAACTTCGAAGTATTTACTTGAAAAGTTTAGTAAAAATGTTGTAAAGATTTAAATGTCCCACTTCAATAAATGTTTAGCGTGAAACTTTCCTGAAAATTTAAAAAAAAATTTCGCCTACTGTATATAGGCGAAAATTTAATTTAAATTTTCAGGAAAGTTTTAGGTTACATTTTCGCTTATAAGAGAGAAGTCGAAAATTTAATTTAAATGTTCAGGAAAGTTTTAAGTTAAATTTTTAGGAAAATTTGACTATAAACATTTATTTAAGTGGGACATTTGAATCTTTACACAATTTCCACTAAACTTTGCAAGTAAATTTTTCGAAGTTTGCAAGTAAATCTTTAATAAATTTTTAGGAAAGTTTTGGTGCTGTGTGGGCAATTAAATTCTACAAAAAAATATTCAACACACCGATAAATTCGACAAAATTTAATTCTACGCATAATGAAATATATTTTTTTACGCTTTATAAATTATTAACTCATACCTAATAAGAAGCACTTTGAAAAAAAATTAAAAAAAAAATTTTTTTGCTCGAAAAAAGTTTTAATTTTAAATTTTGAAAAAACTACCTCTTCGATTTAAAAATTTTTGTTGTATTTATTATCTATAAAGTAAAGAATACTTCCTGAAAATTTAATTATGGGATAACAATTACTTTACGAGAAAAAAAATAAATTGTTCAACGCGGCGTGCTGAATTTGCACGAATCCTGATTCGTGCGCATGTATTCGCTTATAGCGGCGCAAGTTTAATTCCAAATCACTCTACAGGTCACAATTTTTTACCGAAACGATTTTTCTTTTTTTCTAAATCTTCGTAATTGAATTTTCTATCTATCACTTGGACCCGATTTTTAAAATTTTGTTTTTAAATATTTTTCTAATAACAATAAGTATTAAAAAATTCTTGAAATATTTTTTTCAACTTTATTTTTAAAGAAAATTAATTAAAAAAAACTTATTAAAATAATGTTTGAGTGTTTCTGGTGTATGAAAAGAAGTATAACAAGTTATTAAATTGTTTAAACAATTTGTTATTTTTTTCATAAACTATACTCAGGATTAGAAATTTCTAGTTTTTTCTCAATTTAGTAATTTTTCGTGAGTAAAACCTTTACTGATGATAAGAAATAAAAAATTATTTATTATAAAAATGTTTAAACAATGTATTGTTGTCATTTTTTCATAAATTGAGGGTCTGAAACGGATAACTGCCTGCTACGCGCATGGTTGAAAAGGACTATACCAGTCAGACAGCAGGCTTAGAGGCGCGCTCACTGTTGTCTGACTGGTATGGTCCCTTTCAACCATGCGTAGCAGGCTTATCCGTTCCAGGTTCTCAATATTGCACTTAGGGCTAGAGTTTCTAGTTTTTCAAAATGCAATCAATTGAAAAATTAAAAACTATAAATTGTTTAAACAATGGTTAAATATAATTAAGTTTTAGTTTTTTTTTATTCTTGAAATTTTTAGTTACAAAAAATACACAATTGAGAAATACCTAGAAATCAGAATCACTCATACATTATTATTTATTTTAATAGGTTTTTTGGTAATTTTCTTAATCAATGAAGCTAAAAAACATATTTTACGATTTTATGATATTTTTAATACTTATTGTTTTAGTATTTAATCCTGACGAATTTAAAAAAATTAATTAAATTATATTTTCATTGTTTCATGTTATTGTTTCAAGACGTAGAATTAATTTGCGTAGAATTATTATTACATGTCTAAAATTAATGTGAGAGTTTTCTCGTGTATAAAGTTTGCTGTGTTGAATATTTTTTTGTAGAATTTAATTGCGTGAATCCCATATTACACGTCTAATTTAAATTTTCCCGCTAACTTATTTGAAATATTTCAATTTTTCATATATTTCAAGTTTTGCATGTAATATTTCACGAAACCAAAATTTCATGAAATTTTACATCCCTACTGGGTAGGTGTACAGTACTTTTCAAAATTGGAAGGCATAATTGAAAATTACTCTACATACATGCGCCTTAAAATTTATGAACGATACCTGATATAAAAATTACGATGTGTTGGCCTTATAGTTCTGGACTCAGCTTAATATGGCGCTAGGAAATGTTCGCGCAGAGCAGAAAAGTCTTGAAAGTTTAACGCCGAGTGAGTTGAGAATTTCAATTTTAGTATAGAGGTTCGCCGTGTCGAGCGTAGTGAAAACAAGGAAGAGAGAGAAAGAGAAAGAGAACGAGCGATGGGTGGGAGGGAGACAAACGCGCGCACTCGTATGATTCTTGTGCGTGTATGTGCGCCAGATGAAAAGTGTGTTAGTGTGCAAGAGAATTTAAGAAGACGTTTATAAATCCATGGTCGCGTGGGCTGACATTTGTATGTGTGCGGAGGTAATGACGGCAATCGGTAGTAGCAGCACCAGCTGCAAAGGAACGTGTGTCAGTGCCAGAGAAAATGGCGGAGTGTCCGGTGCGGTAATAACAGTACAGATAGCATAGTGGCCTACGGAAGGGAGGTAGGACGCGAGGGCCGAAGGACATGGAGCAAGCGCTCACGTCGACGACGAGACGTCGCGGTCATCAACATCATCCACGGCATGCAACGAGGAGACGTGTTGACATTTCCAGTAGAGGACCCGCGCAGTGTGGCCCTACTGGAACAACTTTGACAGATGACACAGCTGATTCAAAGACGACGAATCCTCACATCAGCAGTGACGTGACAACAACGTCTGCTGCACATGAGGAACCTAACCTAACAACCGTCCTCGTGTCACCTCGACGTTTAGCTGCTTTTCGCAAAACTCTCGACTCAAACAAGTTCCCTGATTCAAAACAACAGTCAATAGAAACAACAATTCACAATATTGATCAATCAAATAACGTCCAAAAAAGGCCCGCGCAGTGTGGCCAGGACGTTAATAGAAAGAAATTAAATAAACGAAAAATTAAGAAAGCACAAGGCCTGGAGGAGGCACCTCGGATAGAAGAAGAAACAAAATTAGATAATCGAGGAGAAAGCCCTGAACCTGAGCACGCGGACGCGAGGGTTCGAGGTGATGGGAACTCAGACGATGAGTCTATTAACATTGAGGACGATCCGGAGCTAGCTGAACTTGCGAGATTGCGATGTCCAAGCGAAAGAACTGAGGTCGAGGCTGAACGAGAAGCAAGAAAAAGGAAAAGATGCGCCGATTATCCTGGGCTTGCCTTTGGCTGCTCTATTTTTTCCAGCGACACAATGATGAAGTTCAATTTAATTAGAAATGAACTTGTGAATATTACTGGCAATCAGCTAAAAAGGGTTAGTATTATTGTGAGAAACGTTCTCAATTTACTTTATCAAATCAAAATTTTAACTTTTCGTTTACAACACTTCAAAATTGTAATTATTTAAGGTTATAATAACCTTTATTTTATATTCATTACTGACATTAAATTTCATTCATTTCATTTAAAGAAAATTGTTTTCTATCAGAAATAACAAAAATGTTTCAATATTTATAGATTTTAAAAGTAGGGTTCCTCAATGTTTCTATACCCGAATTCTGGAAAGCAATTTCGCTTATAAACAGAAGTCAATGTATTTTAAAATTCTGTGTATTTAATTTAGGGGTCGTCCATATACCACGTGGACACTTTTGGGGGGAGGGGGGGTTTAAAAATGTCCACGATCTCATGTATTTTTGTGTCCACAAGGAGGGAGGGGGGGGGGTCTAAATCTAAAACCTGTGAAAAATTATAAGGACGACCCCTTATCAGAATGAGTTGATAATTTTTTAAATATGTAATAGTAAATTTTAATTTTCGGTTTATATTTATTGACATGTATTGCATATATTTATATATTTTTTAAAAATCGAGTTTACAAAGAGTCCCACGTTAAATTATACATTTACGAAAATATTATCGTAATTAAAACTAATTTTATTTTTAAAGGACATAGGGGATTAAGTATGCGAAAATTGCCCCCGCACGAATTAAGCTCATATTGATGTTATATACTGCTACCAATATGAGTATGAAATTCTGAAAATTTCAACCCCCCCCCCATTCGACTTCTTTTAGGAGCTATGGAGGGGGAAACAAAAACCAAAAAACTCATTTTCTTCGAAAACCACTTAACCGATTTGGATGAAATTTAAATATGTTATAAACACAAATATGACAGTTTAAAAAAAATTTTCAAAAAAATTCATTTTGATATTTAAAAAAAAAAATTTTAACTTTTTTAAAGTTACACCTCTAATTTTTCTTTTAAAAAATACCTTGGAATGTCCGCTTTTATAAGTATCTTTTCCGGATTTTTGAAAAATGTAGTTTTTTCAAAAAACGACTTTTTAAAAAAAACCAAAAAAATTCATTTTTTTCGGAAACAACTTTACCGATTTAAATTATATTTAAATATATTACAAACATAAATAAGACAGTTTAAAAAAAATATTTCAAAATTTTTTTAAAAAAAAATGAATTATAAAATTTTCAAAAAAATTTTTTTGATCTTTTTTTTAAAGTTACATCTCTAATTTATCTTTTTAAAAATACCTTAGAATATCCACTTTAATATATATTTTTTCCGGATTTTTGAAAAATGTAGTTTTTTCAAAAAACGACTTTTTTGAAAAAAAATTTTAAAACTAATTTTTTTCAAAAACCTATTTTTAAAAACGCTATTTATGGGAGACAAATTAAAAAACTAATTTTTCTGAAGGAAAGTAATAAATAAATATTAGTTCCATTTTCTAGTGAAAAAGTAAAAACTATTGTTTAAAAAAATGTTCTTTTTCCTTTTATTATTATTATTCTGTCAATTGGAATTTTAGTTGAAATATGTCATAATGTAAAAATCTACCATTTATGTAAGTAATTTAGAGTTAATACTTCAAGAAAGTTAATCAATAGAATAAATACATTATTTAAAGTAATTTTAGACTAACTTTAAATTTTTGAATATAATAATTGAAAAATTTGATTGAAAGACATTCTTCACTTGATGTTTCTACAGGTGGCAGTTACCTGTTTACTTTAATAACGTAGGAAAACATCTTATTTAACTATATTTAATTTATTTAATTATTAAACACATCTTAACCTTAATTCTTCTTTTCAGTGTCTAATTATTTTGTCATTTAGATTGAACTTGAAACATTATTGAATGCTGAAATATCATTGAAAACTAATAATAATTTTCAGTTGATATAAATCTTATATATTTTATTATTTTTAAGTAGATTTATAAATTAATTATTTTAAACATTTACCTTTCATGATAGGTTCATTAAATTTAATATTACAAGTAGACCTAAAATAATTTTTTATTAATTTTTTTGTATTTCTTTATATTTGAATATGCGTTTTTAGCCAGATTTTACGTATTTCAATTAGATGTTTATTTGATATGTTCTTATTATTTAAATTAGATTTTTATTGTTTATATTAAACATCAATGTTTTTGTTCGATTTTTGTAACTTTATTAAATTTGTAATTTTTATCGTTGCGGCTTAATTTAAAAAAAATTGATTCTATTACTTAGAAATGAATCTGTATGATCTCTGAGGAATGGAATTTAATCTGAAAAAGTTTGCAATTTTTAAATCTTTATATCTCTTAAAATAGATTCATGATTTAATTTAATAATTCCACCTTATTGTAATTAATTGATAAAGACATCAAAATTATTGGGATATTTGATGGTCTTACTTTCTAAAAACATATTTTATGTATTATTATTTTAATTTTTCACTAATTTCATTATTAAAAAATAATTAATCAATTAATTTTAAATAAGAATAATTCTTTTAGCACTTTTAAGAATTTTTCTATATTTTCTAATTGCTAAAAAGGGACTTTTTTGCCCACCTTCTCCACTTTACACTCACATTTTAAGAAAAGCAATAAATATTTTAACATAATTCTTTTTATTTCTTTCCCCAGAGATTATTCAGATTCATTTCTAAAAGAATTAATTTTTTAAAAATTAGGCCCGCAACTACTTTACATATTTATAATAGATTTTCATTGTTTTATTCAGATTTTTATTATTTAGGTTAGCATTTTATTGCTTGCATTATGATTTTTACTCGTTTCAAAGATTTTTCTATAAAAGTATTATTATAGTATTATTAAAAAGTTGTATTTTTTCTTTCATGCTTCTGCATTCTTCAAGTACTGACGCACGTGAAACAAAAATATTTTTTGAATAACAGCGTTTAGCAGCAGTAATGGAATTTTTATATCTATCAATAGCATTACGTTTGGAGAGAAGTAATAAAAATTTACTCATTTGAATTTCACTGAAATAGACAATGTGATTTAAATAATTAAATAATTGTTTTTAAAAATTTCATGCAATATTAAATCAAGGTGCATTCGATAAAATGACAATTCATCCACCTGTTCAATATAATGTTCTTTAAAATACTAAAAATTTTATTTATATCCTTTATAATATATGAGGTTAAATTAGATTTGCAATTTAATTATTAAATTACTTAAATAGATTGGAGTTGCAACTGTTGACAGCACAATAATGTTCTATAGTTTCTCATTTATGGGGTTAAATAGTGATAATTCTCTAATCGAATCCTCTTAAATAATAATATAATAATTATTAGTAATGATTTTTAAAATTTTGAAATATTTATTTGAAATAAAACATATTACACTGAAGTAAATATTTGGTAGGTATTCACTTATAAAAATGAAAATTTTTAAATTGAAAGCACGCCTCTCATTTATGATTCATTTTTTTCAAAATTTATTGTAGAACAATTATCTTCTGGCGTGATTCATTTTAATTTAATATGCCGTGTGAGATAAAAGCCGAAAACAAAAATATGAGTTTTTTCTGAAAAGATATTTAAAAATGTGTATTTCTTTCTTCTTTTGTTTTCTATATAATATATATATACTTTTGTAATATGTGCAAAACATAAATAGTTTTATTATTCATTATAATTATTTGTGTCAGACAATTAATATTAACATATTTATGATTAATATAATAATTAATTAAATTATCATTTTGGCATCTATTTTTTTTAATTCTATAAGTTGAATTTATTATCAATTTTTCACATTGACTGATACGTTCATAATGAACTAAATGAATTAATAATGAAAAATTGTTTGTAATTCATAATTTTTTGACATTTTAAATTAGAGATAAAATTTGGCATTTGAATATAAGAATTATAATGCTTTTTAATAATCACGCAAGTTTTCAATTCATTTTATTTCAATCTGTAGATGTGCTCCTAGAAAAAGGCTGAGTTTAGAGTTGTTCACGCTTAAGCCTAAGGTGATAGTTATTGTAATATTTTCTTTAATTCTAAAAGGCACATTATTTTACAATATCAAGATTTATTCGTCTGTTCAAGACGAATAAGTGCGGTTAAAAAAATTTTAATTGATTAATCACCATTAAAGTTAGAATACAAAGTTTCCATAAATTTTATTATTAAAAAATAATGAGTAACGCTATTTTCAAGTATACTACAATTTCTTTATAATTAAGAGCACATATTTTTTTAGCCTTCAATACATTCTACAAAAAGTGAAGTTTAATTCACCATCGCATAGTTTAGAATTGTTTCGTTGTATGCCAAAAAAGATATGCCAACAAAAACAAAAACTTGTATACCTATAGGGTAACACTGCAAATTTCATGTTTTAGATTAATTTATTCTATTTTATTATTTATATAAGGCAAGTAGGCTAAAATTTATTTAATTTTCTTAGTTCAATAGATTCTTAGAGCTTTTCTAAAGTAATAAAATATGAAAATAATTAATAGAATACTTTAAAAATAGAAAGATTTATCAGTAATATGGAATCGACCGGTTCTGTGGATTTACCTATATGTTTAAACCAAAGTTTAATAAAAATTTTTTATTTTATTTAAATAAATTTTACTAATTCAAATTTAGAGAGTAAGTGAGAACCTTGATAAGTATAAAAAACTTCTGTTAAAAGTGAGACAAAATTCTCAGTCTCTTGAATTCGTCATCAGTGACCCCAAAAACCCCAGAGTAACAATTTTCAAATGAATTCAATCTATTTTGAAAAATGTCGTCCGTCATATTGGATACACCATTTTGAATTTTTGAAATCTGATTTCATATTCGTAATCAGTGACTTTTTTAAAAATAGTTGTATTTAGAGACAGTGTGAGCCGATTTTTCTGATTGAAAACTGTAAAAAATCATGCTTGACAGCTAATTTAATTTGTTATTGCCTATATATCGCTACATCTTCGTATATTACAGAGTTTAAGCTTCTTAAAACTTGATTTTTGGGAATTT